TAATAAAATAAACTACTACTTACTACTTGTACTACTATTCCTACTTCGCGGTTTTCACTTATTGCAGGGCTTCAGGGTACGGTTCCTCTGCGATAAATGAGGGACTACTGTCCATTTACCATTTACTTTTCTGACACTCCAGATTTAGGCTATATATTAAAAACATGAACTTTTCATTTCATATGCTGATAGTGTATGGATCTTAATGCTTAATGTGACTGTCATAAGGTGACATAGGTGGATTCGGTCACCAGGTAGTCCCACACTGCTATACTACCACAAATCCTTAGCTGTTTCCAAAACACCTTAGTGTTTTGCCAGACAGGTGGTGGGGGGGCTGTTTAAAATGTTTACATTTGGAAAAAAATTGTTAATGCATTTGTGAAATGCTGTATAGATTTATGAGTCTAGTTGTTTGTTTTGTTAATAATTTTGAGAATAATTTATCTTTATACATACACCCTTTAACATTCAAACAAAAATACCACATACTCCAGTTTTTAGGTTCTCTACATCTACACATACAAATTGTCAAAACTATATGCACAAACTGATTGCTGATCTGTCAGCATGAGCGCACTGAAGTTTGCCTTTCCATTTGTCTTTGAGTGTTTTTTTTGCTGTGTTCACGGCTGGTAAAAACAGGGACATCTGACCCTTATCAGATTTACTGTGATCTTGGAAAAGAGGCAATTCTGACTTGGCACAGTGGCTCATAACTTTTATAATAAAACAGTTAAAACAGTTATGCTTACGTTGGCATTACTGGATTTTTTTTTTTTTTTAAGCTAACTTTATGCACAGCTGGAGCAAAAACAACCCAAAACAGGTGGGTTATCCTTTTTCAGAAAAATACTTCCTGAAAATTTTTGAGATCCAAAATGCTCTCTTGTGGCAGAGCCCTGGACTACCAGTGGACACGATGGCAGGGTGTCCATCACGCTGTCCATCCTCTGAAGTAGCTAAACACACATGTAGAAAGAGCAATGCCAATGGGACAGTGGGATTAAACCTGTTAATTCCATTTTTAATCCTAAATTACAGAACTGAGGTTATCCATGTTAGACATGGACAATGTCTAAGGGTAAACTATATTAAAACCTCCTAAAATGAGAATATTTATTTTTTTTAAAATTGCAAATTTTCAAGGCAAACAATAAAATTGTACACTGTATTTAATTAGAAGGCTTAACGATATATAAATAAATAAATAATACCGATCAACCCTAATCTGATTCATCTTCAGTTTATTCCATTCAAGCTCAGAGTCAGCATGATAGCCATTTAAATAAAAAGAAAAAAGAAAGTTGTTATTAGTCCTTATCATGACTAAAATCCAGCTGAAGCCTTGTTGTATTCCAGCTTTATTGTTATTTTGTCCTTTTATCAGGATAAGCCCAAATCAGGAAAGTTGACTTCCTTTGAAGTAATAATGTGAAATCTTTCTTGAACAACTATCAAACAGCATGACGTGTGCACCAGGCTCAGAGGATGAATGCACATCTCCAGGAAGAGAAACCTGCACTAATTGATTCAAGCAGGACTGAGT